CTGACTCCCTCCTCTCCTTCCTCCTGTCATGCGGCTCTCTATGATTGCTGGGAGGAAGTGACTGGGGCAGTCACTTCCTCCCAGAGTCTGACATCACCACAGGGAAATTCATTGCTATCAGGTGGCCCTAACAGCATGGGCCATCCGATGGGCTCCTTCAGTGTGGCCCCGGCTGTTATACCGAGCGGGCCAAGGCTGTGTTACATAGCGGGCACCCCAGTCGCAGGGGTCCGTAGGGCGGCCAGGCCCCCTCGATTGACAGGCCTGGTCGCAGCTGCGACCCCTGGGACCGCCATAGTTCTGCCACTGGCCATACCATCTTCTTTCTTCCCCTCTTCTGCCAGGAACCCACATCATTGGTGAATTCTTGTGTGCGATTACAGCACAGAGGTGTACGGAGACTGCAGGATGCTATAATATCTTTTAAATGCTTTGGAATGCCATTAAAATTCCAATGCAGTCAGTATAAGGATTTCATAAGCATTTTATCTTTATGAAATAATCGGCTATGACATTGTGGTAACAGAGCTGCTTTAAAGGGACACTATAGGCACCCAGACCACCACAGTTTTAGAGAAACTGCAATGATTACATTGTAGGACTAAGACTGTCACTAGAGGCACTTCCTAGTGGCTAGGCAACTTTAGGTCACCTAACTGACTCTCTGCATGAGGACATCCAGCGTCAGTAAAATCCCCATAGGAAAGCATTAAAACAATGCTTTCTTATGGGGAGGGCTCAATACGTGTGTGGCACTTGCAGCGCATGCACTTAAGCTCCTCCACTCCCCGTCAGATGATGTCGGAGGAGGCAGAGTGCCGACTAAGCACAGAGGGAGGTTGGAACTAAATGAGTGAGTACACTTAGGTATAGACCGAGCATTGGTTTGGCCGATATTATCGGCCAATATTTCAGATTTTGTAAAATATCGTTATCGCCCACTATTGATACCGATACTGCCGATAATGTGAGAGGCAGCAGGGGCCCAGCGCACACAGGGCCGGCACGTCCATAATGTGGAATACGCAGCCACATTAGGGCGCACGGCTCTGGGGGCGCAAGAATCGAGTGGCCAGCAGGAAGAAAACGCACAGTGCTCCCCCTACCAGTCATTTGGTGAAGCGTGGTCGAGTGGAGCAGAGCGGACCACGGTGCAGAAGCTTCAGTTTCCTGTACCCGGCTGGACTGACAGGAAGTGCTCACTCTACCCTCCCTTGTGTGTATCATTACCTCTCTTGTAGCATGGCAGAGCAGACCTCGGTAAAGGAGCTTCAGTTTCCTGTACCTGGCCAGACTGACAGGAAGTGCTCACTGAGAGAACACTTCCTGTCAGTCCGGCCAGGTACAGGAAACTGAAGCTCCTTTACCGAGGTCTGCTCTGCCATGCTACAAGAGAGGTAATGATACACACAAGGGAGGGTAGAGGACCACTTATGGGGGACACACTAAAGGACCGGGAGGGAAGAGAAACACTAAGGGGGAGCTGAGAGGGGAGAGGAACACCAAGGGCCCAGGAGGGGAGGGGAATACTAAGGGACAGGGAGGGGAGAGGTACACTAAGTGACAGGGAGGGGAACACTAAGGGACAGGGAAGGGAGAGGAAAAATAAATAAATATTCTTGAAAACATAAAAAAAGTGACTGTCATGTATATTTTGTGCATTTACCACTTAATAAAAAAAAGATTTGCATAAATAAATAATAAATAAACATGTTAAGTTAACAGTAGATTTGTGTAGAAATTGTTTATTTTTTCAAAATGGTAAATGTACAAAGTATCGGTTACCTGCCTGAAAGTTCCTAGATTATTGGTATCAGCTCAAAAAAAAAAAATCAATATCGGTTGATCCCTAAGTACACTAAAAGGTTTAACTTTGGGGGGGAGGGGGTAGAGAGGCCGATTTGTATTCTTTACACTATAGAATCCCTTTAACCCCTTAAGGACCAAACTTCTGGAATAAAAGGGAATCATGACATGTCACACATGTCATGTGTCCTTAAGGGGGTTAAAGGACCACTCTAGGCACCCAGACCACTTCAGCTTAATGAAGTGGTCTGGGTGCCAGATCCAGCTAGGCTTAACCCATTCTTTTATAAACATAGCAGTTTCACAGAAACTGCTATGTTTATCAATGGGTTAAGCCTTCCCCCAAAGCCTCTAGCGGCTGTCTCATTGACACAGTGCTGAGCACGCAAGCATCCATAGGAAAGCATTGATAATGATTTCCTATGTGACCGACTGAATGCGCGCGCAGCTCTTGCAGCGCGTGCGCATTCAGACGACGGGGAGGAACGGAGGAGGATCGGAGGCAGAGAGCTCCCCACCCAGCGCTGAAAAAAGGTAAGTTTTAACCCCTTTCCCCCTTCCAGAGCCGGGCGGAGGGGGACCCTGAGGGTGGGGGCACCCTCAGGGCACTAAAGTGCCAGGAAAACGAGTATGTTTTCCTGGCACTTTAGTGGTCCTTTAAGCACACATGCTATATGATATGAATAAACAACCGGTGGCACTCAAACTGTTGTGATTTAAAATCCATGATACCCAATCAGTTGGCCACTTTTCAAAAGTTTTAGGTTGTCAGAGACTTCTTGATCCTGGTTTGCTACATACACTAATGTACAAATAGGTTATTGTTTTAAACTACTCTCTATCTATTTTGCATGCTATGACTGCCATGTCTAAAGTGCATTTCTACAGTATACAGTCACTATGATTAGATAATTGATCTTCTTTTGTGAGCATGCATTCCATATTGACCAGAAATGAACATTATGTGAAATGTATACACAGCCATTTTCATAACCCTAGCCACATAGCAAATTAAACTACTACTAAAGGCCGAAACAAAAGATAATTCTAATGCATGTATTGATTTGCAATCACAGAGTGCATAAGAGTATATAAAATAATATATAATTAATGAGGTTTAGGAAATGTCTTATTAAAATGTAAAAAAAATAACAACATTGAAACTTTTATGTCAAGTATTATTATCCTTAAAGGATCAGTAAAGTCATCCAAACCACATTATCTCAATAGAGATAAAAATTGTGTTTTTTAAATTGTATTTATTATTCCGTATTTTGGCAGTGGAGTGCCCCTTTAAAGGCAGTACCCTAGTCCCTTGTTATCCTGGTGTCTGGTCTTTTGGAATCCTTCCTGTTGATAAGGAAGTCTTATTATCAAACCTGAACAACAGAAAGTCCTGCCTAACCATAAATACTAAACTGTAAACTATCACAGGCTCAAAGGTAATGAGATTTTTTTACTGAAGCATTTTTGAAATAAAGAAAACTTTGATACTGGGCTTAGAAGAATGAGTTAGAAGTTCATTGTTTAAAAATATGGCATATACATGCATGTTTAATTCCTAGACCTAGGACCTTGTTCTAAGATTAACATCTCCCCATAAAATGTAATGCTACTTGGTGTGAGTGCTTTAACGATTTATCATAATGATTCTCAGCTTGCCATTATTTCTAAGCACAGAAACTTGCAGAATTCGTAGCCAGACAGACAAAAGTCAGATGTTATTTCTGAAGACTGGGGTCTCGACCCCTGTCTCACTATATCATTCTAGCTCAGGCCAATTTGGTCATAAAATGCTTCTGGCTCTCAGCAAAGCACACTTAGAAACATGGCAAGAGTATTTTAATAAACTTGATGATTCTAGGGGTACTTACACACAATATCTTAAAGGGGTACTTATACACAATATTTTAAAGCAGGGCTCGACAAATCCTAGATGCAAGGTCGCCATAGCAACTAGGATTTTTTTTGTCCTGGCACCTGGGATTTGTTGGCCCATTCAGCCCCTGAGGTGGTTGGCTGCCTATGAGTGGAGGCTTTTTGCTCACCTCTGGTCTCGCCGCAGATGGTCCTGCCTCCATGACTGCGATTATCAATCTTGATTATCTCACCTAATCCAATGCTTTCCCATAGACAAACCACCATGTATGACAAACCACCACGCTGCACCAATCAGCATCTTCTCAAAGAGATGCATTAAATCAATGCATCTCTATGGGGAACATTCAGCACCTCCATGCAGAGCGTGGAGACGCTAAACGTTGGTGCTAAGTACTGTCCCAGAATGCACTCTAGAGGTCATCTAAATGACTGTAACAAGGCAACTTTTCTCTGAAAAGGCAGGGTTTACATTGAAAAGTGTGCAGGGACAGGTTATAGACACGAGAACAACTACATTAAAAAAAACTGGCTCCTAACTTTTTTTGCTGGCCCTAAGATTCCAAGCAAATTTGTCAAGGTCTGTCTTATAGGACCACTATAGGCATCCAAACCACTTCATCTCAATGAAGTGGTCTGGGTGCAGTGGCCCTGCAATGTAAAAAAATTTTTGGAATCTGTAATGTTTACATTGCAAGGTTAACTAACCTATAGTGTCTTCCAGACAGGCAATAGAGGTACATTGGTGTTAAAAACCTCGGTTCTCCATCAAAGGCTGCATTTGATTGGTGCAGTGTGGAGATTTGCCGAGCATGTATACTATAGGGGATTATTGGATTGGCTGAGTAAACTTGTATTCCTAAAAATATATTATTCCTTTAAAGTTTGGATGCTTAAATACATTAATGTTTTCACAGCATGCGCTGTATTTGTTAAATCACTAAACAGATCAGCACTTGGTATAAAGATGTATGTAGTATATAAGGACACTTGATTTCATTCAGTAGATCAAACAGTACACACAATTGTAAAAGGTACTGCAAATAATAAGTCAAACTACTGCTGAATACAGTTGAAATATAGTTGAGGCTGTTTTTCCACTTGGGCTTTTTGTGCTGTAATCTGCACTTCTCTTTACAATTCTTTACATTTCCGAGTTCTGTGGATAACCCAAACATCTTTCTTCTGTTACAAAGACCCAAAGACCATGGCTTAATTTACTGAACAGTGAATTGTAACCTGAATTGCAACATATAGGCTGAAATAGCCCATCTGTAACTTTGGCTATGTTGGAAAAAAAAAATGTAAATAATAAATTTTGTCTAAATTTCACAAATCTGTTTTTATTTAATTAAAATTCCATGAGTAGGTAGTAAACCTCAGCACATGTATGTGCACCGGCATCATTAACACAAGTAAAAGGTATTGTAACACGTTATATGTGAGAATTCCACAGATTCCTGTTACACAAAGAGCCATAAATGTGCCATCTGTGTGCCTGGCTCTGCAAAATAAATGTTCTTCATTAAAAATGACATCCTAACAGCAAACATTGTCACTCTTGAGTCAAGGAACAGCTGTGGTTGGTGCAAGTCAATTAAAACAGTGACATGCAAAATCTCATAAAACAGAATGGGACACGGTCTACTATTTTATGATTTGGCTTCCTGAGGGTTAATAATACCTCAGCCACTACATGGGTTAAAATGCCTATGAGCTTATGCAACCAAATAGTATTTCTATGTTAGGAGTGTGTGCACATTTGCACTAGTTACTATTGATCCAGGATGCTGCCACAATTAGGCATAACAGAAATAAACTGTGACTATAGTACATACTATATGCTGCTAGAATAGCATTGGGGAGCTAAATATCCAGTCTTGTGTAGCAAGGAATTTCAGGCCTCTGGGACATGCTTGTGGGGAAATGACTGCTATATTATTATATAGATGCTGTTTCAGAATTGATCAATATGACCGAGCTTCCACAGAGTAAGCTTAACAATTGACGTTACAGAGTTCTGGCAAAATCCCTGTTAATAACTGCCTGTCCTAAAGTGCCCTTTAAATCCATCCATCAGTTATATATTTGTATCTGCAAATCAAATACACACATCAACATGCAGCAGATGATACTTTTTTGGTTTGATCATTTATACATATATTATAAAGTTTATATCGTCAATTCTTCAACAGAGATATCTTGCTCTTTGCTTTTAGGAAGTCACAATGTCATAGTCTTTGGAAATATTACACTTTGGTAAAAATAAACAAACAGGGTCATTTTTAAATTTGAAAGATGGAGTCTTGGAAACATTTCTGTTTATTTGACCTTTTGAATAGTACATACTTGGTTGCATACATTATTTTCTGATGTATGAATTTTGCAAAATTTCTCGACATAAGGTGAAAGTTTGTATTTTTCTGTCCTAAAACAAAAATGATACTCCTTAATTGGACATCAAGTGTTCAGTAGCTCCTGCACATCAATTGCATAGGGTTTGAAAAATAAATAGGCCTTATCTACTGCAAAATGTCTTCTGTTACCTAGACTCAAAATTAGTTCTTCGTGGAGTATTCAATCCTGAAACACAATAGTTATTGAAAGTTTTATTCTCTAGTCTAGAGAGTTCTGCAGCAGACAAGGATTTTGCTGCATTGACAGCCTTTCACAGTGGTCCAATTCATTCATATTACAACAGTCTCCCAAAATGTGTATCCCTCCCCATACCATCAGGGCGGGCATACCAGTGTGTGTGTGTGTGTGTCAAATATATATATCAAATCACATTTCTGCTAAAACATGTGAATGGATTCTAAATACTAAACCGGAATTATTCTACAACAGACCCAAGACATAAATAAAACAATTTGCCTTTCTGGCAGACAATTAAGGTGATAAAATAACTTAAATAAATTATATTTAAAAAAAACTATTCCGGTTTCTATCTGGAAGTTGGTGATATTAAAAAAACATAAGGACCATTTAAAGTCTCTTATTGCAAGCAATAACCCATTTAACCCATTTAAAAATCCAAATATCTTCAGTGTGGCATGATTTAACAGTACTTTACCTATGACTGGCTGTGTGTGTATGTGTGTATATATATATGCATTGAGTCACCGCACAAATTGGAGACAATTCGATCCATGCACCTCAATATTTTGTTCCTAGTAAAATACTTTTAAAATAAATAAAACCCGTTAAGGGAAGTGCAATGCATTCTCGGCCCAGAGGCTAGATGGTTAAAAATAATTGCTTTTCTGACACTAACGCTGCTAAAGGTACCAGCAAAAACAACACTCTGGAATGTGGTGCCCCAACATTTGGCAGCTAAAGTGTTTAGTGCATCACAAATGCCATGCACATTCTGCTAAGAGGTTAAATCAGTTTAAAACATCCCCATATAGACATACAAAGAAAGAACTCCCTCCTAGCACTGTTGAGGTTATCTGCTCCATACAGTGGGAGCACATTGTGCGCTAGCAGCTGCTCTAGAGAGGATCATCTATTTATGAATGAGAACAAGAGGCCAGGCATAATTGAAGATGTGTCTTGTTCTAGCTCACGCTGTGTCTTTGAATCTGGGATCTATGTATTGCACAACACAAAGACAACATTAGCAAGCTGATAATGCAGCTGCCAATCTGTTTACATAGAAGGATCTAATCCCAGTGCAGATCACCACAAACTCACTACCCCTAAAATAAAAGGACAATGCTAAAATTATATAGGCATTAGCAAACAAATAATAATAATAATAATAATAAAAAAAAAAAACAAGTTACTGGTTTGTGTCCCACACGTTCATTTGAAATATCCTAATTTATTATAACTATTCATGTCCCTTAGGGATTGCAGAAACAAACCGATTAAAGATACATTCACTCTTTAGAAAAAACAAATACTATAAAACGGACGTTGGTTATTTAACAAATCAGTGAATGGGTTGGCTAAGAGAGTTAGATCTTCCTTCTTTTTTTTATTTCATTCATTTAAAAGCATGGAATCTCAAAGGTAAACTCAATGGGCTGTAAAAATCTATGGGCGTTTATTTCATGATATCTACGGATAAATGTTATGTATCTGATTTTTTTTTTTGCTACTCCATTCTGTAATCAATTCATGTCAATCAAAATGTTTGCAGTTTCTGAAGCACAATAAAAAAAAAAAAAAAAAAAATTTTTTTTTCACTTGCAAGGGCTTCAAAAAATTGATGATCAAAATATTTCTATTAAAGCTTACAGCAATTTGGTACCTAGTTCCTATACACCAGCTTTGCAGTGGGCTTTGGAACAAGCCTTAGATGTCAAATGGAGACATTAAGGGGTCTATTTACTTAACACTGAGATGTGGCAAAGTCAAATCTGGCATACAAAATTTAGTCTAAAAACGGCAACAGTTGAAAAATAAAATGACATTATGGTAGAGCTGTCTTTTTCACAATTCTGCTTATTATTGCCTAAATGTTGAAATGTATTCCTCAACTCCACATATTTTAGTTTTTAAATGATTATGCCTCTAGCTTACAAAGACCTGAATGAATTTAAAAACTGCAAGGGAAGGGGGTGGGGGATAGAATTTGGTATGCTTTAAAAAAATGTTTTCTCAGCAGCAAAGTAGAGTGAATGCATCTTTAAAAGGCTTGAGGCTAATACATGACTGAACCATTCCAGCGGAGGAAGCAACCACTTTAGACATACATGGCAAACTGGGCCAGGGGCTAGAATGGGCTCTTGCAGAGCCACAAACTGCCTGCTATGGCTGTTAAAATGATTATTAGGGATTATTACTGATCTTGTCCAAAGTTCACACAATGACCTGCTTTCTGATACAAACCATCACTAGTGAAAGTGATATAGATTTTTGTAACACATGCATTGCCTTAGGACCAGGTGCCTCATTATTTTGATCCCTGGAAGAAAGGTAATTAAAAAAATAAGGGGCTAGAATGGGCTCTTGCAGAACCACAAACTACCTGCTATGGCTGTTAAACTGATTATTAGGGATTATTACTGATCTTGTCCAAAGTTCACACAATGACCTGCTTTCTGATACAAACCATCACTAGTGAAAGTGATATAGATTTTTGTAACACATGCATTGCCTTAGGACCAGGTGCCTCATTCTTTTGATCCCTGGAAGAAAGGTAATTAAAAAAAACAAAAACATATCAATATCACTCTAGGAATAAGTTTGCATCAGAGACCTGAAGCACTAATATTGTCATAGATCTTCCTGGTAGCTGGGATAGTCCACAGCAGAACACCACAGCCCACCCACGTTTTGGAAGTCATTCAGATTGCCTAAATAAGGGGAAGGAGACCTTCAGCACTCCTGCTGTTGTGGACTACACCTCCCATAATGCTACTACAGCCATATTGCTGGCAAATCATCAGGGGAGATGTAGTCCACAATATCAGGAGCGCCAAAGATTACTTACCCCTGGCCTAAAGATAAGCACACAGCTGATGTAGAACTGCAACTCCTATGATGCTTTGGCAAAGCTTCAGATGGTTTGTTGCTCTACTACAACATCTAAATATCTCCCTTAATTATCTTGCAGCTGTAATGCTGGCCAAGCATCAGGGGACATATAGTGCACAACATCTGGTTTTCCTAAAATTGCCTTAAATGAATGAGAGAAGTCTTCCCCAGTGGTTGCAGCCTGTCATGTCTATTTTGGTTAGTTCTGCTTGATGTTGGTAAGTCCCTTTAGGTAGGTCCTCACTACCAAGCCCAGGCACAGGGTCAGCAGCAGCATGTAACCTACAGTCCCAGAGAAAGTTGGTAAGTGGTAAGTGGCTGGAGCCTTGAGGAAATGCTCCAAGCCCTCCTCCACATAGTGCATCTGGTCATAGATGCTGAGGAAGGTGAAGATGTGGAAGAGTTGGTGGCTGTGTCCAATGATGTCAAACAGCCCCGGATGGATCCTCTCGGGAATCTTGCTGACATTGAAGAAGGCGGCCACCAGCAGCCAGAAATACCTCCGGTAGAAATGGACGAAGAGCGTGGGGTTCTTCATGCGGAGGTCGAACAGTAGGCTCTCGATCATCACCGGGCAGGCCATGCTGAGGGGCATGGCGAACACAAAGGTGCGGATGGCGAACGGGTAGGAGCAGTCCTCGGAGCGGCTCTTACAGCAAGCCACCGTGCAGGTCACGGCCAGGACAAAGGCCACCGGGAGGACCAGCTCGCCGTACACCCCCAGCAGCAGGCTGTAGTCCACCCGGTGCCAGCCCAGGCTGTGCAGGTAGGGGGTCATGACGGTCGGGTCCAGCAGGTCCAGCCGGGGCAGCAGGTAGTAGGTGTAAGCCACCGTGCTGGCGAAGCCGTAGTAGCTGATGCAGGCATAGTCCAGGAAGAAGAAGGCGGCACGCAGGCGCAGCGAGCGGCAGCTGAACACATGGGCTGTGCAGCTCATGGCGAAGGTCAGGAGGACCCCCGAGGCATAGCACCACAGGGGCAGCAGGGCCGGGTGGTGGAAGGGCAGCTCGCCGGCCAGGAACAGCACCTGGTAGAACTTGCTGAGGAACAGGACCAGCGGGATGAAGTGGGTCCAGAAGTTGAGGGTCTCGTTGGTGGGCTGGAAGATGGAGGCCAGGCACTCCTGGGCGGTGAGGTGCAGCCGGCGGTAGCCCGAGAGGATGAAGCACTCCACGAAGTCATCGGGAACCTCGTCCCAGCGGAGGAGGGAGGACGAGTCCTTGTCCCTGGTGTAGGGCTTCAGGGGCATGGTGACCCTCCCAGGCTGGGGGTGGAGGTCCAGGGATGGTGCCAGAGCGGGATGTGGAGGCTGAGGATGATGGAGGTCCAGGGATGGTGCCCTGGTTGGAGGTCCAGGGATAGAGGCTTGGAGGTCCAGGGATGGTGCCTTGGCTAGATATGTGCTGGTGGCTGAGGGTGGAGGTCCAGTGATGGTGCCCTGTCTGGATCCGTGATGATGCCCTGGCTGTATCTGTCCTGGAGGCTGGGAATGGAGGTCCGGTGATGGTGCCCTGGCTGGACCTGTGCTGCAGAGCACTTGACTCACAATGCCTCTGATGTATGTGCTGCAAGGAGGGCTCTGCAACTTCAGCATCAATGTTCTGCAGTAGCTCAGCTCACAGCAACCTCAGCATCAATGGACCAGCCATGCAGAGCAAGAGAAGTGCTGCTGAGTGCTGCATGGAAGGCTCTGCACCTTCAACATCAATGGACCAGCCAAGCAGAGCCAGCACAAGTGCTGCTGTGTGCTGCAAGGAAGGCTCTGCACGCTCAGCATCAATGCAGCAGCTCAGCCCAGAGCCAGGAGGGAGAGCCTGCACAGCTACTGCTGATCTGATCCTCCTATGGATAGAGCAGAGAGAGAGAGAGCTCTTTAGTTTATTGATTCCCTCCCTCCATCCCTCCCCAGGGGGAAAGAGGCAGCATGGGATCTTTTAAGAATCCGAGCCCATGTCTGCATTATGCCTAGGAGAGTGACTGCTCTTCATGACCTTGAAGTTCATGCAACAGAAGAGGTGGACCCTATTGGAGGAGGTTTGGGTAGAGTGGGGGGTGATGCTATAGTACTGCGGGGGGGGAGGGAGGGGGAAGAAAATAATGGGTGGTATTGCTGGTTTGTGTATTTATTTATTTCCGTTGCAGGTAAATGATATCTGTAAGTGAGAGAACCTGCAGGAATTAAGAGGACAGCTAATAGGTTTCAAAAAAAGAAATAATGAAGATGATACCCTGCAGGGTAATGGATAGGGAGTAATGACAGAATCCTGCACCAATGTATTCAGGGTCAGTTCTGTTTCTGCTTATCTTGGTGTAGGATAACATTTAAACCATTGTGTTAATTGTATATATGATCTGTACAATCATTAACATGTGATCTGGTCAGTTATTACTAGTAATATTATGTGTTATATAGGTATCAAAATATACAAACATTTTATATATATATATATATATAATTCTGCAGAGTATAGGCTATATGTACAGGATATAGTAGTGTGTAGATTCATACATTTCAGCTGCACTGGTTAGTACTCTAAAAAAAAAAAATCTTACTATTCATGTCTCTTTTCTATATAGTTATTTTTTAAAATAAATAAGAACAAAATTAAAAAAAGGTTTATACCCTTTTTAAAATAACTCACTATTCATATTTGCTGCTTAACAAACCGTTGAAATCAAGGCAGCAAATGTTTCATACTTGTGATTTAATCTTGTCCTTAGTCCTCTCTGTTGAGGATTATATTTCCACAGCCCAAGGTCATGCCTGGATGGGCAGACATTTTGATCTTGTCAAATCACATCTCTAATAAAATCTTCTTGCATTATGTTTAATTGTATCAGCGTGTCATTCACAGGAGTGTATTTAGACCATGTACCCTTCCACTTCCAGCGATATATAAAACTGCATTGCCAAGCCTTGAATTATTACACCCCCTGCAGTCACTAAAGGAAGACTAAAACATTCTGAAAACTGTAATCCTTCTGTAGCCACATGCTGTTTAAGAATATAAGTAATATATATATATATATATATATATATATATATATATATATATATATATATATATATATATATATATATATATATATATATATTTGTTTAATACCAATCATTAAAATTACTGCACTGTCTCTGTTATTTAGGCCATTTTGGCAGACCATCTGCCTGTTAAGCACTTAGCTACTGCAGAGCCTTTTGGGAAGGAAGTTGACTATCACAGTTTTAGAGGAAATGTTACATTTCTATTTTTTTATATTTTCGTACCAGTAAGCAAGATTTTCTCACACTTAAGTCAAGAGCTAGGATCCAAGAAAGGGCAATGCAAGCTGTCAATTTTGTATGATTTCTGCCTGTAAATGAATAATATAAATAGAGTTGTGTTTCATATCATGGGTCTGATTCTCAGAATATTATTATTAACTATCAGTTAATTGGTCTTTTTCTGACAATAGAGGTGTCTGTACAGACCATGACAGGTGCAGTGTCGCCTTATGGGCAGCTGAATCTGTACTTGTCAAACCCCACACCCACCCCCTTTAATAAAACCACAACACCACTATGTATGGGAAAATGTGTCCACAGCTTTATTGAACATAATATAATAATAATAAAAGTCATTGCCCCCCACCTATTGCCATCTTATATTTTCCCAGAGCCAATAATAAATAGGGCAATGACTAACCATAAATAACATATAATAATATATAACACATACCCAATAAAGTGCCAACATTTTCTTAACAGCCCAATGGCAAGGGTATACCCGGATACCCCCACACCTCCTAGGTTCTGAGCCACCCACGGACTCGAAACCTCCTAATACCATAACCAACTGATAACTCAAATTCTATTTCACCACTCCTTTTTTCTACCCCTTGCTCCTTTTCGAACTCCAAAGTCCCTATCCCCCCTATTTTCTTCCCCTTACCAGCCCTGCCGCTGTGACCAAGCGGGACAGCCACTAAGGACGGGAGGGAGGGACAAACCCACATTGGTGAGTACATTAAAACTGCCTATTCTAAGATGGCTGCCCCTATATATATGTCCCCACTTCCTAATCCCAATCCATCAATCCTGGTAGTGCTCCACCAATGCACGCCTCCTAGCCCTGTCAGGGCCCTTTTATACTAAACTGCGCTCGTTCCAAGGGGCTACAGGACGTTTTGTTAGCCTTTCTTGGTCTTCCCATTGTATTCTTTGGGAGAGCTGTGCCCTAAACTGCAGTTTATGCAATGTGCAGGTTAGTACATAAAGGGAATTTAATTCACATAAAATAAACAACATGAATGAAACCAGTGGTGAACTGATAAGATTTTACCATGTCAAACATGGGAGGGTGCATACAACTACAAGATTTTCAGGCATTGCTACAGGTATAAGATGAAGAGATAACTGCCTAAATTTGATGTGTAGGTAGTTATGGTGCTTCTGTTGTCCTATTAAAATTATAGCATATACTGAATGTTTCCATAATAACAAAGGGGGATTGTTTTTTTTTATTTAGTAGAAATTAAGCCAGGCTGTGCTTATTGAAGCGCTGAATGAGGATGAAAATAAGACGTTTTTTTCTTCTTTCTGGCCAGTGGTAAAAAATTATAATGCGTTGATAGAATTTATATATATATAACTTATTTATTTATTTTTATCACTCTCCCAAATTGTCATTTTAATGCATTCAAATTTGCATTGCATCTCACTGTTAAATTCAGGCACACATTTTAGGAGTTCCCTTAGCAACTGCCTACTGCTTATTCACAGCTTTAAAACCGAAAACACAAGTTTAATTTTTGTTTATACCAGGGTACTGAGTTTACATTTAGACATTTTTGTCTATTAACTGTAGCTGTGATTTCCTGATTTATACAAAGGATTCTTTTGCCAATAATATAGTATAGCTTGCAATATGTGGTTAATATTTCCAATGTATGATATACATTTTCACATATCCTCCTAGTTTTCATTTATATATTGAATACCAGTTAACAAAATAAGGTTTTAATGGGGTAGTATTAGCACCATAATAACTACCGGTACATGTTGTTTTGGTGGTTATGATGCTAATGGGTAATATAGGCTATGGCTATGGGTAATATAACCTGGTTCTCAATCAAACGGTTTTTGCGTGGTACAGTCATGGATCCCTGTGGCCCAGCTCCCTACTTACTTATCACTAGTAATGCTAATAACTCCACTTTCATTATTAGCAGTATTGATATATCCATGCTTGGACAGCAGTGATATGCTGAGTGTGTCATCTAAAACTAAACCTGTCACTGCCATCAATAACATTCTCATTGACTTGATTCCTCCCAACAGCTCATCACTGCCTCTTATTTTCCACAGTATTTTAAGCTATGGTAATAGAAAAGGAGGTTTAGAATTATATCAGCAATTCTGCTCACACTAAAACAAATTTGCATGTGGAGAAAAATACAGCACAAATATGAAGCCAAAACCCACTAAGCTGTGTTTGTGTCCAGAGTGTGTGTGCAGTGTCCTTTAACATGACTGCTGACCCACCCAGTCCCAACCAACAAACCACAGCTTTATTTAAATTAACAATTTAACTCAGTCCAAATCTGCCAGCTGTTGGGTGTTTGCCCAACAGGCAGTTCTCACACACATTTGGTACCATGAGCCTCAACAGCCAGCTCCTCGCCATCAGCTCCGTGCTGTCTGTCGTCTCCCCAATGTCCTTTCTTCCTCTGCGCTGTCCAGGGAAACCGCCAAGCTGTGACAACACAAAAACAACAGCACGAGACACAAGCCACAACACCAGAAACAGGGAGGGAAGGTGGGAAAACAGTTAGGAGCCCTCAACTGATCCTGCCGACTGGTAAGTCCCCTCCCTCTCCCTTTCGTTAAGAACCCCCAACATTAGCAACATTGTATCTTCCCTGATCCATCCCACAATCTTGGGCAGCAGTCATGTTCCCCCTTCCTTATTATTCCAGGGGGAATCTGGAATATAGGGATGAAAGCATCCATCCAAAGAAAGGATGCAAAAGCAGCTTCCTTGTCTTTGTTAACATGTCCAATATTTTTTTATTTTTTTTACACTTCAAGTAACATAAGAACTACATTATGCAGGCTGTAGCGGTTATGGTGCCAGGATTGCTTTGGCTCCTCCTCATTGTGCATAGTCAAACCCTCCTTGCCTTCATTACAGCCAACACAGAGCTGTAAATGCTATGTCTGATGTCATCAGCTGGAACTCTGTCGTGCTTAGCTCAGCCGAGGTAACAGGAGCTCCTAAGCTGGAGTTTCTGGTTCTCAGAATACTGAGAAAAAGCATGGAGCGGCACGTTAACCACTGCAGCATGCCAGTGGCAGATCCAGAGCCTAATTATTTTAAGAAATAACCATCTGTCTAGTGGTTATGGTGGCAGGAGTGCCAGGACCCCCTCCCAGAGTAAGTAGTCATACCGTTTAAGAACAGTTTGACAACTTACCTAGGGTCTGCTGGGATATGGGGCTGTAGTAGTGCACAGGAGCAGTGGTGTGTATGAGTGGTGCAATGTGTGAGGGGTGCAGTGTGTGTGAAAGGTTCAGTGAGTGTGTGTAAGGGGTGTAGTGTTTGAATGTGTAGGGTGTGTGGGGCAATGTGTGTATGGGGGGCAGTGTGTGTGGGGTAATGTGTTTATGGAGGGCTGTGTGTGTGTGTGTGTGTGACCATGCATGCATTTGGAATGTTGGGCAAGAATCACAATGGAGTCACTTCACTGATCTCACTTATACATCCCTTCATAATTTCTATAAATGTAATTTACATCAAACCCTTTTAATATCTGGCTATCAGGTGTTCTTGTGACTTCGGTTTGACTTTTATTAATAGGAAATTCTTTGAAAGGGGAACATTAAAGTAAATATCATCCAAATATATCAGCATTTCAACAAAAAATAAGTCAGTAAATGCACAACTGGTACCAGCGAGGTCACGGTCACATTTGCTGAGGGCGGCACTAGCTGTTTGCTATTATAGGATAACGAAAAGATAAGATAAAGCAAACGGCATGTTATCCTCCAATAGCAAGGTATTTCCCAGCAACAAATGTTTCTTTACATGGAACTCGAAAAAAAATCAATACTGACCTGGGACACATAGGGGCAAGCTTAGAACGTTCAAACATTGGACTATGATGACCATTACTCCCAGCTAGCCTTTCCAAAAATATTATAAATATAGATACAAATACCTTTTTAATGTATTAAAGAAACGCTCCAAACCCCTCACCTCTGCTTGTTCAAAGTTGACTTCACATTAATGGTACATTGGTACTGCAGCTTAACTTAGCACTGGGTTCAGTAACTCTAGCTTAGTAGCAGTTTGGCAGCACTCAGAAGATGACTTCCCATAAAGCAAGGGTTTTTAAATATTGTGGTAAAAAAATAACTTCTCAACATGAACACATGTAATGGTTTACCCTCTGTAATATAGATATTATAATCAATACAAAAATGGAACTAACAGGTATGGAGGATTCAGCCAGTCATCCAAAGGCAAAGATCTCTCTTCCCTCCACCTCTGCTGCATACTAATTGGGTTTTATGCTTTGACTTTATTATGTTTCCCCATGTTTCTAGAGTGCAGATAAGAGTGCAGGAAATATAAATCTGGTCCACTGAAGGCAAGGGCCATGGCTGGCAGTCATTAGACTCTTCAGAATAGTGATTCTCTCATAATCTTCATTTACAGTTAAAAAAAAAAAGGTGTGTAATAAAAAGCCAATGACAGGGAGTTCTAAATACATTTCTCAACAACATCTTAGACTAAAGTAATAAAGGTGGGCCCTAATGCAAGACGTAACCAGAAAATATGTGATACTGCTTTATAATGATAATGTTTTCCACACTTTTACATACGTTTGCACAGTCATGCGACAGGAATATGCTGGGGGTGCTGGCCTTAAATTGGGCTTGAAATAGCTTAATTCATAGACCCCTTCACAGTTCTTTGCAGGTTATGCAAGCCAGGTCATTGGTAAATACACAGTGATATATAACAGGCCAACCACACACACAATATAACTAGAGTGATGGACACAGGAAGTAGATAAGTATCCAGACAAGACCATTAGGATCAAGACTAGGATTTGGGACACAACATGAAAGCAAAAAGTACAAAAGCATAACTAGAATGTACCATGCATGTGCTTTCATCTAGGGAGGTGCAAGTAAATTGGTTCCTAGACAAAAAACAGGATTTAGTCCAGATCCCCACATGAGCATATATGAATTATATCTACTCTATGCATAGTGTCCTTGAAAAGACACACCAGTCCCCTAAAGATTTCAAGGCAAATTAGCTTATATAAATCACCTTAGCAGCACCTTCAGGCTGTCGAACTGACAGCTGTGAGGGTTTCCAGCCTTATTCAATATGAATGCTAGTTCACAGCGAGCATGCTCGTACAGAAGCATTGTAAGCATGTCTCAACAGTTGTGGGCTTGTCTATTAGAAGCGTTTGATTAGACACATCAGTAGATATTAAACATTTTCGTGTCGGGGGTAGGGCTGTATAAATAATAATAATAATAATAATAGTAATGGATAAGTATACCCATGCAGATACTGTTTGAACATAGCTACTTGATAGAATTTAGAAAGTATGGTAAATGGCTGTGTGTGCACTGCATTATTTGGAAATCTTAATAAAAATTTAAGCATGAAAAAAACAATATATATGCATATTGCTGAGTGATATAGTGAAAGAGACACTGACTCGCTAGGTTTATATTTGGACTGTAATGTTCTCTTGTATGAAATCTTTAAATGATCTGGAAAATGTGTTTTCATCACTCTTTTATAATATGAGCATCAGAATTAAAGAGAGATTATTCTGAAAATCTGAAAACCTTAAAATTAACCAACTTTAATTAGTTTTGAGAACTCTTTTTTTCCATTCAGGTTGCTGGAGACAAATACGTTGACTTACAGTAGAACCAATATTCTGAGCTTCCCCAATGCATCTCATAAAAGTGCTTGTGCTGTTGCTTGGCAATTCACAAACACACTGAATGTCACAGTGACAAAAAACACTTGGCACACATCCCCAACTAAATCTGTAACACTGCCTTTAAAACATTCCACTGGAAGCACAAACTAAAAGGTCCTTTTGTTTCCCATCCTTACTGTTTCGTTTTGCATTTTTATATAGTTGAACCTTGAACATTTAACATTTTACCTATTGTTAAAACCAGTAAATAAATGTAATGTCTTTCTATACTGCTACAAAGGTGCGGTACCTATATCATTACACTACTATTCTGAAATTCATTTTGGTAATCAATGTATTAAATGCACATTGTTGTTCTTCTGTGTAATAGCATCTTTAAAAAAAAAAAAAAATGTTTTCAGGGGAGGCACTCTCAGGCGAAAAACCATACTTCATCCTGTGAGTGCTACCTTATTTGCGCCTTTATTTTATGTCATACAGTGTTACACTATTTTGCTTCTTTTCATTTGTAGATTTGCAGCTGTATTCTCCATTGTGTACATTGCTCACACTATGCTGCCATACCTGGTGAATACAACCCTGAATGAACAAAAAAGCACTGTGAAGTTGTCATGGTGCTTGGAGCCTGTATATGCATTGTTTCAGTAAATCTGTGCATATTTTGCATCCATCTTCAGCACGCTGGTGATGGACAACCAGGGCAGCATGATTTCCCCCTGAGAGCTACACGAGAGGGGGAGTGACGTCACCAAAGCAGGATCGGGCTGCAGAGAGAACTTAGACTTGATGTGGGTTTGTAGATAAGTTTTATTGTATATTTCTTTCTTTATTCTTTTTTGGTAAGGGGGGAACCATGACAACAACAGTTGCTACAGCCAAAAGCATTGTGTTTAATTAAAATTGAATATTACTATAATATTAACTTTAATATTAGCTATATTAACTATATTATCCAGAAAAGTATAATAAATGTTAGACATTCTAAGCTTATTTTTTTTAAATGTATTTTATTTTTACATTCCATTAATTATTATCTGTGAGAACGCCCAGACATTTTAAATAAATAAATTTATAAAATGGAAAAAAATGTAGAGGAAAGAAAAAAAAGCGAAATGTACATCCTAGTGTACCACCTCCCCACGTCCTAAAACCAGGATACCAATGTCATAACTCCATCCTTTTCATTTAAATTTTAAAAACAAAAGAAATGTCTTCTTTACATTCTTTTTGTTTTTGTTTTAGGTCTATATTTTTCCATTTGAGTACACAATTTGCAGTAACAATTCTTAAGATATAATCTAAAAAGAAACTAGATTCTGTCTGATATATTGCAAGATAAAGGATACCATATCATCTCTAAAAATAAATGTTGCGGGGTATGCCTTAATAGCAATATATACACAAAACCTGTGTTTATGTACCTGCCAAATTGCTCATGTTTCAAATTTAAACTTTTATGTGATCGATCATTTGCATAGAGTTTTAATGAGTAATGTAAGGTGTAATTGTGTTTACCATGTACTTATTTTAAATATACTCCGATGAAGGTTAGGTCATACAAGCATTAATTTATTTTGTACTTGCACTTCTTTCCCCTTTTCCATGAAGTTCTCCCAAGTAACACGAACATAGATAGTGTGTAAGGAAAGTCTCAAAGTACATATTTTGTGATAAAGGGATGCAATTTAAACACGGCAGTGTGTTCAAGGGGCAAAGGTTCAATCAAACAGACAAGTGCATCATTTGTTTGAACTTCATAGTAGAATAACTGATTCCTAACCACCCTTGACCTTTGGCTGTTAATTGATCCATATTAATTTTTAACTTCATACAATTTTATTTGTTTAATCAACAGGCATGTATTCAAGCTTTGTGCTAAAATTACAATTGAGACAGTGGAATTTAGTTTATGGTAGACAAAAAAAAAAGAGACTGGCACAATTTGAAATATGTGATCCATAAAGTTGACAGAGGAAAAAAAAAATGATTGGAAGATAAACAGAGTACATCAGACAATAAGAGGTCAGTGTGAGCTGAGCTCTTGACAATGATTGGCCTGTTCTTTTCTGTAGAACAGGGGTGCCCAATAGGCGGATCCACAGATGATGTTTTAAAACTACATCTTCCATGATGCTTTGTCATTCTAACGGCATCATAAAAGCATGCAAGGCATCACTGGAGTTGTAGTTCTACAACATCTGGGGATCTACCTTTTTGGCACCCCTGTTGTGGAGTATATCTAACCCATACTAAGGTGACAGGGGGCAAATACAAATAATTGCACAGTGATGTGCTGTGGGTCAGAGTTATGTTAGCAACTGAGGTCACACTGATTTATTATTGGCTCAGCTGAGTATGTACTCAGAGCATATATAATAAGTAAGATGTTTTGTAAAAACAGGAAGCATGGTTAAGGGGTGGTGTTACTCAACAGAAAGCAGCAAAACGTTTTAAAAATGTTTTTAGCAAAACAAAAGATTGGAATGCGAAGAAAAATATGGCATAGATATGATGCCACAAATCTATCAAATTTACTTAAAGGACAACAGTCCTGAAATGTTCACTTCTAATTTTTAAATGTTTATTACATTTAATGAAACCTCATGATATCTTATTTTTAAAAAAAAATTCACTTTTTATCTGGTTGAGAAGCCATATTGGGTCGGATTCTACTGTTATCTGACATCTGTCCCTCAACCAAACTTGCCTGCTGCTACAGTTTCACACGGAAGAATCACAGCAGGCAGTTAGGTTGAGAAGAAGTCGGACAGATAACAGTAAAGTCTGACCCAACTTGCAACACAGCTGGGTAAAATGTGAAATTTTCTAAAAAAATATCAATATATATCATTCGAAAAAAATATAACTGAGTTTCAAACGTAATTCATTGGATTGAAAAAATGTATCTCTAGAAGAATAGTGTCTGGTCACTAACCAGAGAGTGATATGATGTCGGACAGATAACAGTAAAGTCTGACCCAACTTGCAACACAGCTGGGTAAAATGTGAAATTTTCTAAAAAAATATCAATATATATCATTCGAAAAAAATATAACTGAGTTTCAAACGTAATTCATTGGATTGAAAAAATGTATCTCTAGAAGAATAGTGTCTGGTCACTAACCAGAGAGTGATATGATGTCGGACAGATAACAGTAAAGTCTGACCCAACTTGCAACACAGCTGGGTAAAATGTGAAATTTTCTAAAAAAATATCAATATATATCATTCGAAAAAAATATAACTGAGTTTCAAACGTAATTCATTGGATTGAAAAAATGTATCTCTAGAAGAATAGTGTCTGGTCACTAACCAGAGAGTGATATGATGACAAGCAGCTTTCAAAATGTGAGTCATAAGCTGGAAGGCCATTTCATGCATCCACTACCCTCTCTGTAAAGTAATACTTCCTGAAATTATTTTTAAACCTTTGTCCCTCTAATTTAAGACTATGTCCTCTTGTTGTGGTAGATTTCTTCTTTTAAATATAGTCTCCTCCTTTACTGTGTTGATTCCCTTTATGTATTTAAATGTTTCATATCCCCCCATCTCGTCTTTCCTCCAAGCTATACATGTTAAGGTCCTTTAACCTTTCCTTGTAAGTTTTATCCTGTAATCCATGAACCAGTTTAGTAGTCCTTCTCTGAACTCTCTCTAAAGTATCAATATCCTTCTGGAGATACGGTCTCCAGTACTGCGTACAATACTCCAAGTGAGGTCTCACCAGTGTTCTGTACAAGGTATGAGCACTTCCCTCTTTCTACTGCTAATACCTCTCCCTATACAACCAAGCATTCTGCTAGCATTTCCTGCTGCTCTATTACATTGTCTGCCTACCTTTAAGTCATCTGAAATAATTACCCCTAAATCCCTTTCCTCAGATGTTGAGGTTAGTATTGTATGTGACACTCTTCTTACCTTTAAAAGATGTAAAAAACAGATAAAATTTGTATCTTATAATATATTTTTTATTAGACTAACATAATTTTTTAATGACAAGCTTTCGGGAGAACCTCCCTTTCTTAAGCCTTAAGCCCTTCTGAACGAGACGACACATAGAAGTTGAGTTGTGATACAGGGGTTAAAGTGACAGGAGTGCAGATAAGACACACACACATATATATATATTGCTATTCAAGATTTAGCAATTACCATCACTATTCATTCTATCCAATCCTAGCACAGTCATGTCACAAATTGCTCTGGAGAAGGAGAAAATTAAGCAATATTTCTATGCTCTCTCTGTCCTTACTGATGACTTGCAAAAAGGCTGTTTTTGTCAGCCGCAACGTTGTCATGATGTGCAGGTTCCCATTGAAGTGTGCATTGTCAAACAACCTGTGTGCCTGAACTCTTAAAATTATTAAAATGTTCATGGAGACTTGCCATCTCTATATATGCAGCAGCAGTGCACTACTATTTTTTATCAGTTTTATCGCTTTTTTAAAATCACTTTTTGTTTGATAGCTGAGAGGGCTACAGTCCCTGTTTGATATTGGCATATATCTTTCTGTGCTTACTAGCAGATGCAAAAATCAGAGCTCGAACCAAGGACTGACAGGGGACCAAGATGGAAGTCAGGGCCGGCGCTTCCTATAAGGCGAACTAGGCAGCCGCCTAGGGCGCCATATAGGAGGGGGCGCCATGCGCCCCCATCGCCGGCCCTTTAAATTCTGCAGCCGCCTGAGTGCTCTATAGAGAGCGCTCAGGCGGCTGCCACAGTGCCTCACTGCTCTGCCCTGCCGTAGCGTGGCCGAGCTCCTTTCCGGTCCGCGACCCGGCCGGAATGACAGTGTGCACTTCCTGTCAGTCCCGCTGGGTCGCGGACCGGAAAGGAGCTCGGCCACGCTACAGGGCAGGGGAGGTGAGGTGAGGAGATGCTGATGGGAGGGGGAG